GACTTTTGTAGTTTCCCCTACTCCCTTCCTCCCTTGGGCTATCAGGCACCAACACTGTTCCAAGCCCCAGTGTGTCGTAACATTATTCATCACTAGTAAAACTGCAGCAGCAGCAGCCATTGCCACTTGCTGAGAGGAATGTGAGGCTTGTGAGGATCTCTGAGAAGGTTTCTGAGTCCTGAAACTCTCGGGTTGAGTGTATGGAGGCACTGACCAGCAAGCGATCGGTTCTGTGAGAGGGGCGGGTGAGATTAGGCAGTGCTGGCTGATGATGTGGCCAGTTCAAATTTCAGGAAGCCACATGTAACCCACCCTTAGGGAGTGTCAGCGACCAGGGTGTACAAACAGGAAGTGGTGCAGGAGCTGTGAGGCAGGGCACGTGCATTCTGCCAGTAGGTGGGTTGCCATCTCCTCTCACCAGCAGACTTATGCTGCAGACTCGAGGGTCTCTCCAGCCCATTGTTGACTGTGCAAATCTACTGAGCAGCTCGAGGCTTCCATGGAATTATCAGGGCTGATTAGATCCCTGATCCTCAGAGATCTTTGGAAGAATAGTGGTTGAGACTATTCAAATGCTGTGCTCTGCAGCAGCCAGGAACCATTTCCTTAGCCAGGCCAGCCTGGGATGAGTGGAGGTAGTCATCCAGACAGAGCTTCCTCTCAGGGCAGCTGGTGTCCAGGTGGAGGGCTGCAAAATCTACAGCCCACACTCCTGGGTAAAGGAGGGCGAGAACTCCACCTGTGCAAGTTGTGCACTGGTGGAGTCACTCAGGCAGCAGGTGCAAGATCTGCAGAAGTCAGCAGGTTATGCTGCATTAGCAAAGGGGAACAAGAAATGATGGAGTATTACTTGAGGCATTGCACAGAGAATGTTACACTGACCTCTAAGGCTAGCAAACAAAGGAAATCAAGACATAGATAGCACCTTGGAAAAGGAGGCGTCATGGTCTCTCATAACTTGTGGCAACAGGATGATGATTCCCCATTTCCTCACAAGTACCAACCAGAAACAAATATGAAATTTTAGCAGTGGATAAAATTAAAGAGCAAGACTCACGGTGAAACAGCACCAGCTACACATGCTAAAAGTTTCAGAAGGAAATGGCAAGTGCTGGTAGTGGGTAACTCCCTACTGAAACGCACCAAGGCGTTCACTGATATGCAGTGAAGTATGCTGTTTGCCAGGAACCAAGGTCTGGGATGTTGCAGAGACACTGCCACAATTGGTAAAAAGTGCTGACTACTATTTCCTACTTCTTTTCCATATGGACACATATGGTACAGCATAGCCTGGGAAAGATCAAGCAGGACTTCAGGGTCCTGGGGGCACAAGTGAAGGGGATGGGGGCCCAGGTGGTCTTCTCTGTCTTACCAGTCAGAGACAGGGGTTTGGGCAGAAGTCAGTGCATCATGCAGATTAACACCTGGCTATGTGGTGTCACGGAATTAGATTTTACACAACACTAATCTAGCAGCAATTTATTATATACCTTTATATCAAACAGCAAAGTTAGATTACATGATTTTTAACAGCACTTAATCAGTATCTAAGCGTTAGTTAATTAACACAATGATCTAAAGAACTTGCTACAATAAAAACAGACACTTAGTTAAAGATTCGAGAATGGCAAGGTTCACCTGAGACTTATTGCAGGGTCCTGGGGTGTTTTTAAATCCAGTTGCATGCAATAGATAGAATTAAATCTGACCAAGGATGTCAAAGGCAACAAGAAAAGCTTCTATAATTATGTCAGTGATAAAACTCGATGTGATTGACTTGCTGAGGCAATTGGCTCCAGGGCAGATGTGTTCTGCAGCGGAGCAGGGGATCTCGGCATGCAGGGGGTACTCCTATATCGAGGCCCCTTCGAGGCAGCCAAGGGAGGCTTGGGCTGAGCCAGGAGCAGTGGCAGGCCATTTAAATTGGGTGTAACCGCCATTTTACAGTCACTCACCAAGTTTCCGGGGCAGATGCGTTCTGCAGCAGAGCAGGTGATTGCAGTGTGCAGGGGGTTTCCTACATTGAGGCCCCTTTGAGGCAGCCACGGGAGCCATCAGGACCTGGCAGCCCTCGCAAGGGTGGCTGATGAGGCAAGGGTGGCTGATGAGGCTTGGGTGGAGACAGGAGTGCCCCCCCCACCCCCGCCCTGATGTACAAAGGCAGCCCCTAGGGAATGCAGGCAAACAGGGCATGGTGTGCCAGTCAGGGTATGGCGTGGCAGCACCCGCAGTCAGGGTTCAAGGTGGGTCATTTTGTATTCTGGGAGAAGCAGAGGAAGGGCATTCTACTTTAATAGAAATGGTGTTCACCCACCGAGTCTGCTGGTCTGAGGCTGAAACACAGATGGGAGGGCTGCAACCTATAGGCAGATGTCTATACCCAAACAGACCTCCCGAGTATCGAAAGAGCTGCCCTGATCCTCAGTTCCAGGGAACTCCAGTCTCTGGAAGTCCCCCTAGGCCCTGAAGGTAGAGATGGGTGTCATGGGTGCAAGTGTGTCCAGCTGGATGAGCTCTTCAAACAGGTGGTTCTGTTGCAAGAAGGAGCTTACCAGGCAACGTAGCATCCAGGAATCTGAGCGGGAGATTGATAAATGGTATTATGCACTGACACGGTCCGAGCAACAGCCCTGCCTTAAGTCCTGGCAAGGGGAAGGTAAACAAGCTTGCAGTCCTGAACGAGCACATATGAAAGACTCGCAGGACAAGGGAGAGTCGACCCTTGTCTCTGATTGGAGCCAGAGGAGGAGTCTCCCCCTTGCCCCTGAAGTGCCCTTGCACAATAGAGTTGATGTCCTAAGGCAGGAGAGAGGAGGCTCCAAGAGAACTAGTAAAGACCTCAGAAAGGCCAACCACGCAAAGTTGGCTCAGTCTACCACCTGCATCAGAACCAGTGCCACAAAAAGTACGAAGGGCGTTAGTCGTTGGAGACTCCTCTCTGAGAGGCACTGAGGCTCCCATTTGCTGTCCGGACAATCTCTCCAGAGAGATTTGCTGCCTGCCTAGGGTCCATATTTGTGATATTATGAAGAGGCTACCAAGTCTGGTGGGTCCCAAAGACTACCACCCCTTTCTACTTTTTCACGTAGGATCAAATGATGCTGCAACAAGGAAACTTCAAAATAAAAAAAGACCCTCTGGGTGCGACTCTCTGGGTGCGACCTTCAAGACGACTCTTTATCCACTGAATGGTCCACCCTTCAAATCCATCTCTCTCCAATTTGGAGACCAGGATGTCACGTGGGACTGTGTCAAAGGCCTTACAGAAGTCCAGATAGATGACATTGGTCGGTCTTCCCTTGTGAACTGATGCAGTCACTCCATCATAGAAGGCCACCAAGTTGGTCAGGCACGATTTGCCCTTGGTGAAGCCATGCTGGCTGTCTCTTTGTCTTGCATGTGCCTTGACATTGCTTCCAGGAGGATCTGTTCCATGATCTTTTCCAGGCACAGAGGTGAAGCTCACCTGTCTGTAGTTCCCTGGGTCTTCCTTTCTACTCTTTTTGAAAATGGGAGTGAAGTTTCCCTTTTTCCAGTCACCAGGGACTTCACCTGACTGCCAGGACTTTTCAAATACGATGGAGAGAGGCTTGGCAACTGCATCAGTCAATTCCTTCAGGATGCTGGGATGCATGTCATCAAGCCCCATAAACTTGAATTCCTTTGGTCAGTTTGGTTGGGTTAGCTATCCCGGCTGTTTCCCCTCCCAGACTCTTGTGGCTGTTTCCCCTCCCAACCCCATGCTCACCCACAGCCTACACTCTGTGTGTGTGTGAGATGGGGGCAAGGAGGGGAAGAAAGTCTTGAGGCTGTGCAAGTACTGTTCAGCAGTAGCCAAAACATTGGTCTGTTATCAACACTGTTTTAATGACAAATGCGATGCACCATGTAGGCTGCTATGAAGAAAGTTAACTCCATCCCAGCTAGATCCAGTACAATTAGGAGGAAAAAATAGTTAATGGATGATTATTTAATTCACTTTGCAATATGCACTTTCCTCTTATATGATATAAACCTGATAAATTCCTAAATACATTTTTTCTAAAGTATTTTTAATTGTTGCTCCTAATTTTAATGTCTCATTTAAGGTGGTAATTTGAGTCCTCTCATTTCTTCTTTATATGTTTCAGTAGTTTGTGTGTTTTTTTTTTTTTTTTTTTTTTTTAGAATTATTTTCTCTTTTCCTCTTTAAACAAAACAGCTCAAATAGGAATAACCTCATGGTTGGCTCAGAACTTCTGATTTCAGATGTTACTTTAAAGAGAAAGGATAAAGGTGACTTAATAGTACTTTGAATGTTAAATCAATGTTCACTTTGCAGATTAAAAACAAAAAAAAAGTTGTGAAGCACATCAGTTGGTTAGTATCTCTAGTCTAATCTAAATCTCTATCAGGTTGGTTAGTATCTGTAGTTTAATCAAACTTACATCTTTATAATGTACCATTTTGCTGCAAGTTTCTTCTTGTCTTTCTAAACAGTTACAAATATATCTGGCATTGCTTCTTCTAAAACAGCATTTTAAAGCATTTCTTTGTTTCATTAAGGCATGCATTTTGTAGCCTGTTTTCAGTAACAGTGATAAGCAATGTTGTCAAAAAATATTTTTAAAAAGCTATTTCATTTTTAAATTCCAAATGCCTTCTCTTTAATGGTGGTTGTAGCACCCTTTAATCTGTAAGGGAGGGAAAGAAAAAGGTCTGTACTTCACATTTTTTAATAAAACAGGGTGTAGCTCTACTGGTGGGACAATAGTTTTAGTTTGTCATGTTTTCTTTATTTAATTTAATTTTTACCTTTTCAGAAACCCTTTTAATTTTACTTTTCAGATCCCTTTTTCAGATATGAATTAAAAATCATGCTCTAACCATATAGAGATGCCAAAACTTAGTGTGGTTAGACCTCTGTGGGAAGATGTCAGGGACTGCCATGTTCTGGATATAACCATCTCTGCAACAGACCCACCACATGTCAAAGATGAGTCCATCAGCAAGGTTTGTGGCACCTCTGTGAATATATCTTTAAGAAAGGGCAGAAAGCACTACAGAGAGAGAAGTTGGGAACAAAGAGTAAGAAAACAGAGGCAACACCAAAATCAGAGAAGGAGGGGGAGTTGCTTGCTCCATGGCACTGGAGCAGATATTCCCTGCGGTTTGTGGATAACCCATGCCAGAACAGATGGATATTCCTGAAGGAACTGCTGCCTGTGGAGAACTCATACCAGAGTAGAGGAAAAGCATGAGGAAGAAGGAATAGCAGAGAGAAACCATTACTGGTTGTAACTCCCCACTCTGTTTCCCATGTGCCGCTCAGGAGGGTAGAAGAGTCTGGAGTGAAGGAGTGAAGTTAGACAAAGGAAAGGGGGATGAGGAAAGGTGTTGTTTTAATGTTTGTCTTTTTGTTTCCCACTACCTGACTTAGTAATTACAATTTTATTTTTGTTGGCTATAAAGTTAATTTTCCACAAGTTGAGTCTGTTTTGCCTGCAGTAGTAATTGGTAAGCAATCTCCTTGTCTTTATTCAAACCACAAGCTTTCTTGTTCCCATTCTTCCTATTTCCCCACCCGTCCTGTTGAGGAAGGGGAATGAATGAGCAGCTGTGTGGAAGGTTGGCTGTTAGTCAAGACTAACCCACCACATTTGGTAAGTAGGAGAGCAGTATTAGTAATGTACTAGGAGTCTTCCATTCTGAAATCTTGACATGTAAAATAGTGTAGATTTCAATTATTTCACCATTAATTTTTATCATCCTTTAAAAGTTTGGTACTCATTCAAAATATGTGCATGAGTATACAAGAACCTGAAGCTCTCTGCATAAGCATATAATTAATGTGAATTATAGTTAATAATTCATTCCAAAACTACTTTTACGTCATTGGTACATCTGAGTTACTATCTAATGTGTGGGTGATTTATTTTTTTTTTTTTTACAGATACCAAAGATGATGACTAGAAAGATTAAGCTTTGGGACATTAATGCCCACATAACATGTCATTTGTGCAATGGATACCTGATTGATGCCACCACTGTAACAGAATGCTTACATACTTGTAAGTAGGAATATAATTCTGTGAATAAGCTAAAATTGGTTTTGTACTTGATATACTAGATGTTTTAACAGTTTGTAGTTGAAGTTTCAAAATTTACTGTTTTTCAACCAGAATAATGCAAGCTTTGCTATGCACTTACAATTTTTCAATAAAGCAATATATATTGTCTCATGAGACAAATAGGGAGAGGAAACTTTAAAACATCTATATAATCAACAGCAATGTATATTCAGGAATGTAGTTTTCCTGTTGAATACTAGAAGAAATGTGGCATGCTCTACAGAGATTATACGTGTATGGTGTTTCATTTGCCAGAGATCACTTTTTCCACTGCATTTGATTTCTAGATGCTGTTCATCAGCTTTAATGTATTTGCTTTCCTTTTTTAGCTCATTCTTGAGCTCCTTCTCCATGTGCTCCAAATCTAAAGTTCCTCAGTGTTCTGTTTGGAGTAAAGTATTTAGAAACCTAATCTAGGAGTTGCTTTGATATGTCCCAAATCCTGTAAGGCTGCCGTTAAGTATTGCATTTGGTCTTGCTAGAGGGTCACTTTTTCATTGTTCTAAAATGTACTTATTTATTTATTTGCAACCCTAAAACATGCACTGCAAGCATGTTTCACATAGGCCATGCCATTTCTCTAGTTTGTATATAGCAATGAATTTTTAGAGCAAACCTACAGGGCTTGCTTGAGAAGCCAGGGAGGTTTTACTGCCCTCTTCTTTTTCTTTGCTTTGCTTTGCTTTTCCTTGTGGATTATGTCTTATGAATTTATGTTTTCAGAAAGTTTTATTGCTTTTGGTTTCATCCTTAGACTTATGGTATTAATTCTGAGGGGACACATAGCCTCATGTTATGAGTGGAAGGGTAGGGGACAGCTTTTTCAAAAACAGCTGTTGGAAAAGTGTTTCCCCATTTGTATCTTTTTACTTTGTCTGTGACAAACTGAGCTGACGTGCTGAGCTGAGTTTAGGAGGTTGGTATCTGCTTATTCTGAACTGGAGGATCTGCTGTTGGCAAGTGATTGTGTTTTTTACAAGATGAGTTTGGTTCTTCTGTTTATGTGGTTCAGACAGGTTTGGGCCTCACCCTTGCAACTGGATCTGCTAGAATATTCCACTGGAGTAGATTCCAATGCTCACTCCCTGGGCTTAGTGAGTAAAGCTGCTAGGGTTGGTCCAATGGAGAGTGTCCAGAGAAGGGCTGCTAAGATGGTGAAGGGCCTAGAGGGGAAGACATAGGAGGAGGAGGAGCGGTTGAGGTCACAAATTAACTTCATGATTACAGTGCCATGTGGTTCTTAAACTGTATATAGCAAGCTTCTTTTTCTTCAAACTACATCTTGTTTTATTTTTTCCTGTTTATTAATGTTCTTGTTATTAGTCTGTAGAAGCTGCTTGGTGAAGTATTTGGAGGAAAACAACACCTGTCCAACATGTAGGATAGTTATACACCAGAGCCATCCATTACAGTATATCGGGTAAGTGTGCAGTATGAAAGTGTAAAGCACAACCAGTTACTCTCTGGACTGTATAGACCTCTCAAATATAGCAAAGTTTCTCTTTAGATATTTTAAAATTTGCTTATCAGTATTTTAAATATATATAAAGAAGGTTGATTAGAGGATAAAATATTTATATAAAGGAGGTAATTATTGAATTTTTATGTGAATTTGCAGTTCTTCTAAGGCAAATCAGACTAACACAATAGACTTTATTGTTTAATTCCTGAGAGAAGTTTAATGAGATTTAGTCACTTTTAGTGACTTTTAGTTTTGTATGCCTGGATCATAGAAGTTAAAAATATGGAACATATACTTGAATTACACTTTTCCAAAATCTTTAGAAAAATGACTGGCAGTTGGACAGTGGTTTTCAGTGACACAGAGGGTATGTTCAAAGACCGTAAATACATAGCATTATTGTTGATTTAGTCTTTCAAAGAACTGTTTAGTTCATAGGTGCAGATGAGAAATATGGCAGCAGAAAAGTTAGACTAGTGGCTTCAACCTCTTAAATGGAACAATCTCTGAATATAAGGTTTGTGCCTACTTCTTTTCATTCCTGCATAGAACTCCCTTACTGCATGACCTAACATTATTGGGGTGTTATATCTTAATTTCCTTCTTTTTCAGTGTATTTTGTATTTATTTGTACATTACCTTTATTTTTCTTCAATGATTTCCTCTTATTTTAAATATTTCAAAGATATCAGTCAAATGTTTATACCACCTGACTTGGCTGGATCTGCACTAGAGATTTGTACAATTTCAACTTCCATTGATATAAATGTATTGAGATAGTATGTTCACAATAGCTGCTGCATGTTGAATAGACTTGTTTACCTCAATGCAGTTTCTTTTTGTTTGTGACACTGCTTCAAATGTGCCTGTCTTGGTTCTAGTGCAGCTTTTGAAGGAATGGTTGCAGAAAATTAATTTTATTCTCTCCACTTTCACTGACAATTCTGGATGTCCTATAAAAACTTTCTGAATTGCTCAAAACTAAGTCCCCTTCAGGAGTCTGAAATAAGATTTTCCTTATACCTTTTGAGAATGACATAGAGACTATACTAAAGTGTATTCTGAAGTACGACAAAACAGCGATGACAAATCCGTGCCAGTAGGCAAGAAGAAACAAATGGCATGAAAACCACACAGTGTGGTTGTCCTCTGTAAAGCTACAGGAATGCTTCCGTGTATTGATTCAGAAGGCTGTTTTCAATGCTAAGAGAGGCCTGAGAACTTGACCTCTAATTGAAAAGTTAGAAGTGGATTTGACAGTTGTTTATGGACACTGAGTGTACAGTATTGTCTGTTTAAAAATTGATCCCATTCTTTATTCTATTTTTTTTTCTCTATTGCTTTGAAAAATAAGGATGTCCTCCTAGGGGAAGTATTTTCCTGAGGCAGTTACAAAACACTGCCCCTTCAAGATAAAAACAGATAGCCTTTGTGCAACCTCTTTTGGAAGTTGGTGTTTTTTCAGTAGAGAATTAATAGGGAGGAACTTTGTATTATGTTGTAGTTACAAAAATCTGTGATCTAATTCATCCCCATTGTATTGGGTTTAAATGGCAAGATTTTTTTTTTTTTTGGGGGGGGGGGGGCTGCAGGGTGGCCTCTGTGAGAAGAGACCAGAAACTGCCCCATGTTAGATAAGAACCAGTTCCAGCCAGCTCAAAAAGGGACCTGACACTGAGCAATGCTGGTTGTGCCTCTGTGATAGCATATTTAAGAAAGGCTAAGAAACAGTGCACAGCAGCTGTGAGAGGAACAATCCTGCAGACAAGGTCTGTGAAGAAGGAAGGGGAAGAGGCGCTCCAGTCACCAGAGCTGAGATTGTTGGAACATGGTGACGCAGGTTGTCCCCCTGCTTCCCATGGTGTACCATGTCACTGCAGCCCATGGAGGACCCCACACTGGAGCAGGTGGATATTGCCTGAAGGAAGATGCAGCCCATAGACAGCCCATGCAGGAGCAATTTGGGCCTGGGCAGCTGCAGCCTGTGGAGAGGAGCCCATGGACAAGCAGGTTGTCTAGCAGGAACTGCGGCCCCTGGGGTATCCAAGCTGGAGCAGTCCATTCCTGAAGGACTGCACCCCATGGTACGGACCCATGCTGGAGAAGTTATTGAAGAACTGCAGTCTGTGGGAAGCCCATGTAGGATCAGTTCAGGAAGGACTGCATCCCATGGGAGGTACCCCATGCTGGAACAGGGGAAGAGCATGACAATGAAGGAGTATGTAGTGGGTTTACGTGGTAAGATTTTGGTAGTAGGGGGCTGCAGGGGTGGCCTCTGTGAGAAGAATCCAGAAGCTGTTCCATGTTAGATAAGAGCCAGTTTCAGCCATCTCCAAAGGGACTCGTCACTTGCTAAAGCCAAGACAATAAGTGATATTGGTTGCACTTCTGTGAGAGTAGATTTAAGAAAGGGGAAAAAACTGCTGCTCTACAGCAGATGGGAGAATGAGGAGTGAGAACTGCTGACACCAAGTTCAGTGAAGAAGGAGGGGGAGGAAGTGTTCCAGTCACCAGAGCTGAATTTCCCCTGGGGCCTGTGGAGAGGACCATGGTGAAGCAGATTGTCCCCCTGCAGCCCATGGTGTACCACAGCAGAGCAGATTTCTATACTGCAGCCTGTGGAGGAGCCCACAGTGGAGCAGATGTATATGACCTGAAGGAGGCTATAGCCTGTGGAGAATTCCCACAGGAGCAGATTCTGGATCAAACCTGTAGCCCATGGAAAGGAGCCCACACAAGAGCAGGTGATCTGGCAGGAGCTGCTGCCCATGGGGGACCCATGTTGGAGCAGTTTGGTCCTGATGGATAGACCCCGTGGTACGGACCTATATTTGGAGCAGTTCTCGAAGAGCTGTTGCCTATGGGAAGCCCATGCAGGATCTGTTTGGGAAGGACTACGTCCCGTGGGAGGGACCCCACATTGGAGCAGGGGAAGAGACTGACCATGAAGGAGGGGCAAAGGAGAAGACTGACTGCAACCCCCATTTCCCTGTTCCCCTGCACCGCTTGAGGGGAGGAGGTGGAAGAGGGTGGATGGGGGGGAAGGTGTTTTCAGTTTTTCTTTGTTTCTCACTTCTCTAGCTTGCTAGTAATAGGTAATAAATGCTGAGTCTGTTTTGCCCGTGATGATAATTGTTGAGTCACGTCCCTGTCCTTATCTCAACCCTTGAGCCCTGTCCTGCTGAGGAGGGGGAGTGAGACAGTGGCTGCATGGTGCTCGGCTACCTACCGGTGTTTAAACCATAACACCCAGCCATCTGGGAAATACGTTGAACAAACACAGGAGTCATGAAACTCATGTGTCATGACTAAGAATACTGTTAAATTCTCTCTTCTCTCATGCTGGTGGCTAATATCATTCATTTATTTTGAAATGTTTTGGGAGATGTACCTGCAAACTGTAAATGACACTTAAAAATCCTAACCTGAGAGTCAAAGCTGGAGATTGGTACTGTAATCTCTTCTGGAGCTAATGCCCTGGTAGCAGCTGAAGATGAAATTTTAGCTTGTATTGAATTTTATTTATAGTTTGGAATTCAGTGTAATGTTCTGGTCCTTTCAGGCAATGACTTGTTTTAGAGTAATCCAGAAAAGGGCAGCTTGTATTTACACTTTGAAACAGGTTGAAAACATCAGAGTGCTACCTAGGTGAGTTGAAGAATGGAAGTTTAGAATCTTAACTAGTCCTGCTCTCCCAGTTCCTGTCTTATGTGTTGGATCAGTCTGTCCTTTTTGTTACACCCTTTTTGCTAGATGGGATTCTGTGCTACATGATGGTGCTCTTGAGTAAAATTTTGATTAAGAGAAAACACTTTTTTTTTCTTTGCTCCCTTCCTTTTTTTTTTCCCTATAGGCTCCTTTCCTCATGTTTTTTAAAAATCCCAGTATGGATAGCTAAAAACCTAACAACATGAGAGATTAATTAAAAGGGATAAGAAGCAGTCTAATTTCTATTAAAATAAAAGTGTAGTTGGGGTTTAACCCAGCTGGCAGCCAAGCACTACACAGCCACTCGCTCACCTGCCCCCCTCCCTCTCTGGGATGGGGGGACAGAATCAGAAAAATGAAGCCTGTGGGTTGAGACAGAGGCAGTTTATTAGGACAGAAAATAAAGTAATAATAATAATAGTACTAATAATAATAATGTGTACAAAACAAGTGATGCACAATGCAATTGCTCATCACCTGCTGACCGATGCCCAGCCTATCCCCAAGCAGTCAGTCCCCCCACCCTGACCAGCCTCCCCCCATCTTAATTGTTCAGCATGACGTCAGATGGTGTGGAATATCCTTTTGGCCAGTTTGGCCAGCTGTCCTGGGTCTGTCCCCTCCCAGCTCCTGCTGCACTCCCAGCCTGCCCACTTGCAGGACAGAGTGAGAAGCTGAAAAGTCCTTGACTTAGTGTAAGCATTACTCTGCAACAATTAAAATATCAGTGTGTTATCAACATTATTCTCATCCTAAATCCCAAACACAGCACCCTACCAGCTACTAGGAGGAAAATTAATTGTATCATAGCTGAAACCAAGACAAGTGTCTAGAGTCTAGAAACAGAAAAGCTAAACATACTTTTGTCAAATTTTTCAAAGAATTTCGAGAGTATGTTACTGATATACATGCTGGTAGAAACATTTCTTACAGGATTCCTTCCTTTGCAACGTAAAGACCATCCTTCTTAGCATTTCTGTTAAACTTCTGTCAATTTATTTTTTTTTTTTCAGTTCTTGTCTTAGCCTGAACCTTGTCTGCATTCCTTTCCTGTTACTGTCATCTTCTGTTTGACATTTCAGTTATCTGAAATCAGTATATTTCTTACAAGACTTCAGAGGTTTGTGGAGTCAATTTAATATGGAATCTCTTAAAGAGAAATGTTTTGAATCAAGATGGCTAATTTAAACCTTCATTTTTTTTCCCTGCTAGTCATGATAGAACAATGCAAGATATTGTTTACAAACTTGTGCCAGGCCTCCAAGAAGGTAAGTTTTCTGTATGACCTGTTTTTACTGAATGTTAGATTTACACATAGTTCCTTTTCATTAATGAAAGGAGGAAGTGAGGAAAGTATTCATGGGAAGATGAAAAATACCATCTTCACTTGTTCCAGTTCTAGCACTACTTCTCTATACTTCAGTGCTTTTTTCTGTTTTAGACTTGTACTAGCAGCATCACTGAAAAAAGTCAGTAATGAAAATACTAGTGTTTGTTTCAGTGAAAAGTAACATTTTGTTAACCTAAATAGCACTACAAAGTTTTCATGTTGGCATTCTCTATATTGCATACATTCTTCTTTAAACTGTGTATGTATTCATGTCTTTTCTGCCAGGTTTGCAGAGTTCTAAGAGACAGAATATTAATCTAGTGTAATTTTTATTTTCAGTTAAGTTTTCTTCTCCTAAAACATACTTAAATACCAAGGTACTTGCTAGCAAAACATTTGTTCTTTCATAATCTATTTTGACCATGCATCTGTTGAACTAAAGGAATGCTTTATATTAATTATTCAGTATTATTTTTCAGTGGTGTGTTGCTACTTTTATTTAAGTAGAATCCAATCAAGCTGTCAAATGAGGACAATATCAGACATTTATAAGCAAGTTTAGGTAAAGGGATTGTTTTTAAATTGTTTCTAAGATATTGAAAAATCATAAATCATAGAATCATAGAATGATTTGGGTTGGAAAGGACCTTTAAAGATCATCTAGTTCCAACCCCTCTGCCATGGGCAGGGATGCCAACCACTAGATCAGGTTGCCCAAAGCCCTGTCCAACCTGGCCTTGAACACTTCCAGGGATGGGGCATCCACAACTTCTCTGGGCAACCTCTTCCAGTGCCTCACCATCCTCATAGTAAATAATTTCTTCCTAATGTTTAATTTAAATCTATACTCTTTCAGTTTAGAACCTTTACCCCTTGTCCTATTGCTACATTCCCTGATAGAGTCCCTCCACAGCTTTTCTGTAGCTCCCCTTTAGGTACTGGAAGGCCCCTCTAAGGTCTCCCCAGAGCCTTCTCTTCTCCAGACTGAGCAACCCCAACTCTCTCAGTCTGAGAGGTGTTCCAGCCCTCTGATCATATTCGCGGTCCTCCTCTGGACCCACTCTAACAGAACAGGTCCAAGTCTTTCTTGTGCTGAGGGCCCCAGACCTGTATGCAGTACTCCAGATGGAGTATCAAGAGAGCGGAGTAGACAGGGAGAATCACCTCCCTCAAACTGCTGGCCATACTTCTTATGATACAGCCCAGAATATGATTAACTTTCTGAGCTGCAAATGCACATTGCTGGCTTATAGTCAATTTTTCATTCACTAGTACCCCCAATTCCTTCTCTGTGGGCTGCTCTCAATCCATTCATCCCCTAGTCTGCACTGATACTGGCAGTTGCCCCAACTGAGATGCAGCGCCTTGCACTTGGCCTTATTGAAATAAGCATAAACATTCAAAACCAATGTTTTGACAGAAATACTGAAGGAGGAAATACAAAGTATGGTATAGTATTTAAAATCTATTTTATCTATAATAACATAATGGTGTAATAATAGCTCTGCAAATGACTTGGTAATATTATGCCTCTCAAGAGTAAGATCTAGGGTAACACGATTATGGCAGCAAGAGCGGAGAAGTAGCAAAAAGTGCTAATACTACTTTCTGCCTGACAAGCTTCTTTTACAGGTCAGAGGAGCATTTTAGAATACCTTGATAAATATTGGGCTATAACTTTATTACATAACTAATATGTACAATTGTAAACAGCGGAAATGAAAAAGCAGAAGGAATTCTATCACAAACTGGGTATGGAAGTACCAGGGGACATCAAAGGGGAGACATGCTCTTCAAAGCAACATCTAGATTCATATCGCAGTGGTAAATGGTCTTATGTTTATTCTGTCTTGGGGTAGGGGGGTGGGAAACAGACTGCCATTAAACTGCTGAAAGGATCTGTCATAGCTAGGTGTCTAGCTAATATTTATTAACACATGTAATTGTATAATATTGTACAATGCTTGTTTGTGCATGTATATTGGACTATATATGTGCTCACCATCTTTGAACTCACCATTTGAGTCCAGTATTGTTGTTTTGCATCAGACTTGTTTATAGAATATGTTCTTTTAGCTGGCTGTAATGCGTTCCTGGTGAAGATCTTCATTAGTATCTATGTGGGAGCTCTATGATGATACTCTGCTTCTGGGCTGCTAGCAGAGCTGGTTATATTGAGCGCTGCACTATATACTTGTTCCCATTTTGACTGTGTGGGCCTATTGGCAGCTGATGTTGCTTAAGTAGATGGCCATGACTTGGAGGCAGGGTTATTTTTTATTAAGTTATTATGTTATTTTTTTATTCCAGTACTGAACTGTACTGACATTAATTTCAGAAACTGCTGATGTTAAGTATAATTTTGTGATAGAAATGGTGTGGTGGTTATATTAAGGTGTGCGTGTATTTATTCTAGGGCAAAAGAATTCTGAAATTTATGACTTTCAGGAGAGCATACCAGTTGTACACAATAGTGAATGATCCCTGATAAATTTATAGCAAGGTGTTTTGAATTGACAAGAAGCCTTTTTTGGGAAGCTTTGGATTAATGTCCAGGAAGGGTAGACGCATTACATATGTTTCTGCTACCAAGAATAAAGCTGTTTTCCAACCTTTTTCCTGGTTAGAAGAGAAGCTGATCATGTTCTGACAAACCTAATTACTTTGAAAAACAAACACAAAAAAAAAAAACAACCAACAAACCAACAAAAAAAAACACCAAAAACTAGTTGCTCTTATAGCCTTGACTTTGTTTCAGGATTAATTGTCATCTGAGATGTCTAATTTAATTATTGTAATGCTCTGCTTTATTCTTGAAGGTGAAACTAAAACAGATGAAAATTCAAACAAAGAAACTTCTGAAGAAAAAGAAGATAATGACTATCATCGAAGTGATGAACAGGTGGGCTTACTTCTGATATAGGTCATTTGTTAGTTTTATTTTCTATTTCAGCTTCAGTCCTGTTCTACTTTAAATTATTATTTTTTTTCCCTCTGACAGAGACAAGATACAGTGTTCTCCCATGCTTTTGTGTAAACTTGAACTTTGTCTTTTTTTTTAGGTAGCTGTGGGGAAATTTGATTGAGGTTTGATAGTTTATAACTAGTTCTGAGTTTTTGGACTATCAGCTAAATTCTGTGTTGGTTTTCATCTCAACTAGATTTCAAGTCATTTGGGCCCTTTTTCTGAAAGGGTCTACTCTCATGCCACTCTGATGCATCAGGACTGAATATGTTTCAATAATTAGAATGAAAAGTCTTTTTTAATTTAGTATTTATTTTAATCCTTATCATGTTAAGGGTATATGTGGACTTCCCACCATTGATATTCTCTGTCCTTCCTGACTCTCCAACACTTGATGTATTTCTTCACTGTCATTGATGGACTGTGATAAGAGTCTTTTGTCCTGTTCTCTGTGCCTGTTGTAGGAGGCTTGCCAGGTCAGGATGGTGGAGGGGTTGCTTGACTAGGGTCAAATACATTCCAATAGGTGCTGGTTGCAGTTCATGATATAGCATATAGTCAAAAGACAAATCTTCATGAGTAATTATGGGTGCAGAGAAATTAAAATCACAATCTATGATTATGGAAAAGTTACAAACATCAGAGTGATTAGTAACACTATTAACAATATCATCTATTAACAAGGATTTACATAATGTTTGCATACATACACACCCTTTCCCAATGTATAGAACTACCATTCCAGGAATCTCATTGGGATGTATTTCAAAGCAGCAGATATTCTGTTCTGTATCTAGACAGGTATCTTGAGCTTTAAAGGTGTTACTCTCACAAATGAAACCTTGTTGTTCTCGAACAACACATGTATTAACATCAACAGTTTGCCATTTATTTACATTTCGTTGGGCACATGCTCTGGGTTCTAATCCTAGCACAGTAATTGGGTATATGGTATATATCGAAGCATTGCATATAGTAAAGACAAAGCCAACATTTTTTTTTGTACTTTGAATGATAAGTGAAGTTGATTAATTGCCACCAGAATTGAAACTCCTTTTCAAACTCTGATTCATTATCCCAGATTACTTTGCGAATTTCAGTGGGTAAGGTTCCTCCTTCTCCTTCCCTAATGATGGCTGGTATTACAGTTTTGGTTTACAGATAAGACAAAAAACAGAAATACCCAACAAATAAAATTAACTCTGTTTGGGAACACTCTAGATTGGTATAGGGGAGTCTGTGATCCCAGGTGTAGAAAACAGCATTTAGAGTAACTGGGAACAGACAAAAGAAAAGGTGCTCGGTTGTTATCCAACCAGCAGATTTTAGGTTAAAAGGTGGGTACTACCATCTAGTGCTGATTCGATGTAGTTTCCTGGAACTATCTTTCACTTCCCAAGTGTAAAGGTTCTTTGGGGTTGTTAATACCATTAACACTGTCCCAATCTGAGGCATTTTAACCAGCACAGGCTGACCTGCATAAAAGCCAGTAGGGTATTTCCTCAGTTTTACATCTTCCTTTAGTACCAAAATTGTAGCAGAAGCACAAAAAGCTTTCATCTTTGGACAACTATTTCCACTCCATCTATTGTTTAATTGATAGATGACACTGGACAGTCGCAGATGCCATCCAGATTCATGGGTTTTAGCAAATCACTTGACTAACCCATTAGTCCGTTCAACAATACCATTGGCCTGGGGATAGAATGGAGTATGGAATACCCACCAGATGACTCCTCCTTGTCCCAGTCTTGTATAACTACAGCTGTAAAAATTGATCCATTATCACTCTGAATCTCCTCTGGAAGGGGGACTGTAGTAAACCATTCCTTTAAGCTATGGACTGTACTTTCTCCAGTGGAAGCTGCAACTACTGTGGCTATGTGGCTATGGTAATTCCTGAGATGACATCTACCCCCACCAATATGTATTTTTTACCCCCTGAGGGTCACGGTAGACCTACATAGTCGATCTGCCAGGTGTGCCACAGTGTTTTTCTGTCCTGGATATGCAGGGAAGGCACTTTACTCAAATGTTTGGTGTGTTTTTTTTTGCAGTCTCAAAAGACATTGTGAACAGGCAATGGTCACTTGTTTGCACAACTTCACTGATACAGGCCATCCTCGGGCTATGCCTTCTCGATACAAGTCGGTTTGTTGGGTGTGGCCTCATTTTACATGCAACCATTTGAGTAAGCGTTCCCATTAGTGGTCATCACTCATGACATCAATTTTCCATAGTCATGTAAGGCTATCCACTTGTTGGTTCAATTGGCAGTAGTGGAAGCTGACCAATCATGCTCTTTTACCAGACCAATGTGCAGCACCCTTTGTTCTCTTATTTCTAGCAATTGCTTCCAGCTGTCAGTTTGCCAGACTGGGACTCTATTTACTTGCCAGTCATTGGCTGCCCAGTGGCCTATCCACTCTGTGGCTCCCTTGAAAGCAGTGTATGAGTCTATGTAGATATGGCTGGCACCATATTGTGCAGCTAATAGCATGCCCTAAGCTCTCCTATTTGCACACTTCCTCCACCTGTTTCACTTAACCTTTCCCCTGTGGCCGCTTCCAGTGCCACAGACTTATAATTCCACTCACTGTTTTGCCTATAGGATGATACACTGGTGAACCATGCTCCTTCAAGGTCACTGCCTTCCCTCAGATGAGGTACCTCCTGAATTGGAGATGGTTTGCTTGTCTGGTTTTGGAATAACAAAGCGCTGTCTATATCTTTCTGCAATTTACATACTTTAATGTTGTCTTCTGTAATAGGCATAATTTCTTTGATACCTTCCAGATAGGCATACCATTTACAGCCCAGGTTTCTGGGCAATGCCTGCAGGTGGCGGTGTAACTTTACGAACTATATCTAGGAGACAGAAAGGTCCCTGGATGAACATGCTCTGTCATAAAATCATAGAATATCTGAGTTGGAAGGGACCCATAAGGATCATCGAGTCCAACTCCTGGGTTCCCAGAGGACCACCAAAAAAAAAATATTTAAAAAATCAGATCATGTGTCTGAGATTGTCCAAATGCTTCTTGAACTCTGTCAGGCTTGGTGCCGTGACCACTTCCCTGGGGAGCCTGTTCCAGTGCCCAACCACCCTCTTGGTGAAAAACCTTTACCTGATATCCAGCCTGAACCTCCCCTGTTGCAGCTTCAAGCCATTCCCTTGGTTCTTATTGCGGGTTACCAGAGAGAAGAGATCGGCACCTGTCCTTTTCTTCTCTGTTCCACCTGTTTCACTGCTTGCACTAGGGACAGCAAGCCTTTTTCAAGATCTTGTGAGAAACACTCTGTAGCCAATAACATAGGCTCAGGCGAGGATCTCAGTGAAGTAGCATTTTTATTTGCAATTGCAGCGGTGGGCGTCCTGCAAGTAGAAGAGCACAGTAAAAGTATATCATAACCTTATATTCCCTATTACCTGATGCTTGATTCCTTCCCTGTTTCCTCATTGGCTGAGTACTACAGGTTCACAAGCTACTCGACACCTTACTATATCATATATGTACAATTTAATTTGACGAACCATTAATTTCTCCTTTTCTTTTTTTTTTTTCCTTCTCTCATGACTAGAGGGCCCATGATTTTTGTTTTTACTGATTTCTCAGTACTTGTCCTGTTTTTCTTAGCTATCCTCCTTAATTTGGGACAGCGGGACCTTCCCCTTACTGCTTAACATAGTCCCCACTGCTATGCCACTGTCATGCCTGCACAATCAATTTTGAATATGCAAGGTTAGTGGAATTTGAATATGCAAGGTTAGTGGAATTTCCAGCACTGTGCCCTTGTGGCCAAGAAGGCCAATGGCATCCTGGGGTGTATCAGAAGGGGTGTGGTTAGTAGGTTGAGAGAGGTTCTCCTCCCCCTCTACTCTGCCCTAGTGAGACCACATCTAGAATACTGTGTCCAGTTCTGGGCCCCTCAGTTCAAGGACAGGGAACTGCTTGAGAGAGTCTAGCACAGAGCAACAAGGATGATTAAGGGAGTGGAGCATCTCCCTTATGAGGAAAGGCTGAGGGAGCTGGGTCTCTTTAGCTTGGAGGAGACTGAGGGGTGACCTTATTAATGTTTATCAATATGTAAAGGAGTGTCAGGAGGATGGAGCCAGGCTCTTCTCGGTGACATCCAATGATAGGACAAGGGGCAATGGGTGCAAGCTGGAACATAGGAGGTTCTGCTTAAATATGAGACAAAACTTTTTTACGGTGAGAGTGATAAAATACTGGAACAGGCTGCCCAAGGGGGTTGTATATGCAAGGTTAGTGGAATTTTCCACTGCAAAAGCACATTCTACTGCAAAAACACAACTTTGTTTCTCACAATCAGAATATGTCATTTTGGTGTCATTCAAAGAGTGGGAACTAAACTCTAGTGGTCTCTCTGGTCCTTCTAGTCCCTTCTGCCAGAATTACAATGGGAACCATGCTCACTGAATCCCCATTCTACATGCATAGGGTTAGGTGTAAAGGACCTAGCTGCTGGAATAGCCTCAGTTCTTTTATTAATAATTCTAATGTGTTCTCATGCTGTTCAGTCCATTCTCGTGATTTTCCCTTTCTGAGCAAATTGTATAAGGGATGAGCAATAATAACCTAAAATTCCCAGGACTTGCTCTAACTCCCTCATGCTAGATGGATTTTGCCCGTGCTCTATTTCCTCCAAATTAGAGCATTTCTCTTCTTTTCTGGGGGAATAGAAGCAGCTCCTTTAATCCACCAGATCCCCAGGAACTTTAGCTCTTGTGCGGGTCCCTTATATTTGGACAGAGGAATTTCTAATCCTAAATTTAACATTTTTTTCTCATATACCTTCCATGGTATGTCCAATTTCCTTTAAATTTTCTTCTCCTATCAAGATGTCACCGACATATTGGTATACTGTAACACCTGGTAGACTGGGGACTTCTGTTAAAACCTTTGATGAGGCAT